TTCACAAGTATAGAAAAGTGAAAATTTAGTTGTCTATTTAGAAGTCTCAGGTGCCACATGGTAAACCGCAAGAAAATTTAATAATTTTGTTATGTCACGAAAAAACCAATTTGCAGCATTAGCATGATCATTTATTTATAAAATCACTTCAGCACTGATCTTTTTTTATCTTTTACCACTGGAAGTAAGAACCAGGAAGTAAGATTTTAAAACACCACTGGAAGTAAGAACCAGGAAGTAAGATTTTAAAACTAATATAAAAGAAGGTAAAGGATAACCTATAACAGGTTTTATGTATTTGATATTTTTATAAAACAGCGCTAGACCATCTCGTTAACCCCATTTGAAACTATGAGACCAATGTCTAAAGTTGCCTCTTCTGCTTCAAGGAGTTCGATTTTTAGATCAACGTCTATTGAATTTAATAGCCACGTAAAATGATTTTTCTGGGTCCCTCTTGTTGTAGAAATAATTTTGTATTTGCTAAAGAGCATAAGAAAACAATGAAATACATCATTACTGTCTTCTTATATATACTCTAGCCTTTCTCTGTCTTTGAACCAGTTTCACAGACTGAGTGCAAGTATAACAACAGGCGTGCATGATATTTGTAGACGGTATAATGAATCCAATTACTTCGCCTGAGCAATGGGTTCAAAAAAGACTACAACCAGCTTTAGCACGCTATTTCAACTTTGCTCGTTCTTTTGATTCCCCCGATGATTCAAGCTACGTCTGTTTCCTTTTCTAAATCAAATCTGTTCAGTTATATCATAAAAAGCACTCTAGACATACTCCCATCCCGATGCTTGTTAAACTCCCTCTCGTTTTTGTAAATGGAAAGGTTGCAACATTTCTCCTACCCTGGGGCCTATAAGGTCTGCTAATATAACTTATATAATGGCTACATATTGTGGAGAAACTCCTACAATCTACTTTTAAAATAACCGAGACCATTCATACAAAATATGCGTCCAGACGTTCATGAAACACATTACCTCTACTTTGGTCTTCACGTAACGAGTCAGGCAAAACTGAGTCATTAAATTCTATACAAAAATGCCAGAACTCACCAGAACTCACTGTGAGTGTAGTAAAATAAATTAAACACAATCTTGTACATGCTGAGTTGGTTGCAAAAGTTGGTTGTAATGCAACATCATCTGAACAATCAGTTCTATCCTAAAATCGCAGTATTGAAAGTGGGGTAAAATCAAATGTTTCCATAATTGTTTTCTGAGGCCGAATTTGGTGTTGCACGCGAATCTTACGCTTATTTTCCACGACAACAACTCGTATTTATATAGGTCTACAGAATGTGGATTTTCAAAACGGTGTACCAAAATTTCCATCACCAAAAGATACACAGTATCATAATATGCATGCCATATTTCTTTCATGTTTGCTTACATTAATACTGTCATCATTAGATCTCGAATTGAGTTCAGTCACCATGTTTGTTAAAATTCACTACCAAGCACGACCAAAGAATCTTCAACAAAAGCAATTTCTTGAATGTAAATTTATCTTTGTGTTTCCAGTGGTGCATCATGGGTAAATGCGTGGACACAACAGGGCCGACTGTTGACGGAGGGTGGTCGGCATGGGATGCCCAGTGGTCGGCCTGCTCTAGGAGCTGCGGTGGTGGAGTGAGAATGAAAAGAAGATATTGCAATAACCCTAAGTAAATACATATTTACATTCGTACGAGGCAGATAGTTTACGAGGATTAGACTGGTTCTATGACGTTTTGAGGGTGTCATGTGGGGGGGGGGGG